CACTAATAAAATATATAATATAACTAATACATATATGAAATATATAATAAATAGTATATGTGCTATATATATGATAAATGTATTATATGTAACAAATTTCGCGCAATAATTATCAGCTAATCAGATTGTATAATTATTATAAAAAAGTCAGAACTTCATTATCTCAGGATTCTGTAATTAGATTTTAATGATTCTTGACTCATTAGATCCGCCTTAGTAAGCTGATTCCAATGGTATATATTTCATCCAAATTGGACTAGTAGATCAAAAGTTATTAAGAATTTTGTATTTTTTCTTAATATTTTATAGGTCAACAATATATAATCATTGCTCAAAACTATCTATACCAATAAAAATCTCGCTAATGACATATTTATCAAGTAAAAAAAAAATAAAAAAAAAAGAACTAAAAAAATAAAAAAATTAATACCTAGAGCAATATCTAAGTCTTAAAACTTAGTCTACTTGCTAAATTTAACTAACTCTTTTAATATAGATACCTAGCTGCTAATTAAATATAAGATTATTTAGTTATTATTTAATAGTAACTATAAAATTAAATAATAAATTTGATATTCAAAACTATGAGATAGAATAGTAGATTTAACAACCCTTTTAATATTATAAAATCAAAAATAACTAGTTTTAGAATTAAAAATACTAAGTTAAAAACCTATAAATTACATAATATAGTTTAATATTAGTAATTTTAATAAATATTATACAAAAGAAGAAGAGATAATTAAAAAAAATAAAATTAGTTACATAATTATAAAGACTGAAGTGATTAATTATGATCTCTAATTCTAACTAGCCTAATATATTATAGTTAGTTATAGTTATTAAATGAGTTCTAGTTATTTGATATACTGTAATAATTGTAATTTCAAGTTTAGAATACTTGACATATAATAGTATTCAAATTATCTAAGTCAAAGAAATTAAGAATTTATAGTTGAATTCTAATATGATTTATGTGTAGTATATATAAATTAAGTGAAAAAAAAGATCGATAGTCACTTTGTAGTATACAAATACTAGGTGATACAGAAATAATATAATAATAATAGCAGAAAGCTCTAAAAGCAGTTCAGTGCAGAAAATAAAAGCAGAAGCTCCTGCTTAGAAGAAGTGCAAGGCTCAAGAATTAGTTGTTGGTAAAAAAAAAGAAGAAAAATAAGAAAGATATATGACACCAGGTATAGAAGCAGAAAAGTTAATACGATTGCAGAAGAAATACAAGGAACGGAAATAACAGATATAGATAATACAATAATCTCAACAAGCACAAACTAGTTAGAAATTATGGAACAAGAAAACACAAATGAAAATATACTAGAACAAGATAATCATATAGTAGACTTAACTAGTTACAATGAGGAATCCTTTATAGCTTTGCGTATAGAAAGTTTTAGCAACATCTATGTAAGTAAATCAGGTGATTATCAAGTGTCTAATATACAAGTAGGCACAACTCAAACAGTCAAAACATGGTCTAGCTTATTTTCAAGATTCACAAAAGGGAAGGCTACATATTTGTCCTTTTTACCTTAGGCCAGTATTTATACAAAGAATAATAATACTTTAATTTTCAATATACAAAGTCTTAAAAATATCTCTACTAATAACATTGTAGCTACATTATATAATAAAATTAGAACTGATATTATTAGTGCAAAACTATACTTAATTAAAGGCAAGAGAGCTTATCTTGAGCTGATTTTTGTTGACAAACAATGGGTAGAAAAATATGCTAAAGAAGGAATTACATTTTTAACAAACCTTTCATAGATTTATGTTAACTAGACTTAATCAGACAACTTTGTCAGTGAGACTTAGAAGAGTTTCTATTGCAGGAAAGGATGAAATCACAGAGAAAATTAAGGATACTTTTAGTGATATAGGCAGTATTCTTGCTATAAAACCACTCTTATATAAAGGTACACCTATATAATCAGATCAGTAAGTAGTAATCTTTGATACTAAGAATGATGAAAATTTACCTCAAAGAATCCCACAATATATAGATATAATAGATCAAAAAGTTGTCTCAGATTGGAAGGAAGCTCTGAAACTTTGCTATTTCTGTGATAGTGAAGAACACATAAAGAAAGATTGTAACTAGCTAAAAGCAGCTTAAAGATTAAGACAGCATTACAAAGAATACAAAGAGAGCAGAAAAATATAAACAGAAGCCGTAGAAGATATATCTAAAATATAGTCACTAGGAAAAAACAAATTAGATGAAATCCAAAAGGAGGTTTCTCCTGAATCAAATTCCTAAAACAGAACTACAATAGTCTTAGATTCAGACAAAGATAGATAAGAATAAATAGTATCCTTAGAAGAGGTTCAACCTGTATTAGAAGTAGCCCATAGTAAAGATACAGTTGAAAATTTAGAGATAGCTATAGTTAAAGATGCCTCATTAAAAGAAAAGCATATTGCTTCTGAAGTTTTGGTAATTCATGAAACTAATACAGCACAAGTAGCAAATAATAAGAACAAAGACAATGAAGGTTTCACAGAAGTTAAAAATAATAAAAAGAAAAAAAAGAAAAGTAAATCTGAGTTCAAGGAAATAGAAACACAAACTTTTTGTTTTTAATTAATGAATAGTAAACACTTAATTTCTATCAGAATACTAAATATTAAAGGACTAAATAAAAGAACAAAATATCAAGAAATACTTACTCTATTAAAATCATATAAGTTAAATATCATAATAGAAATATCCGTACATCACTTGTATCAAAACCTTACCAAAAAATTTTTTCACAAAAAATAATTTTCTTTAACTTTTTATTAAATAAACTGAGTAAGTACCCCTAAGCAAACTTACTCAGCACTAGATTCTACATCTAGACAGCCTAATTTCAAAAATTTTGGCCTTCTCTCTAATAACTTACTACTGAAAATACAAAAATAAAAAACAACTCCAAACTTTCGAGGTTTACTCAAAAACTACTTTTTAAATCTTCTCTAGGCCCTTAAGCAAAGTTGTTAGCCTGGTCTCTCCGGTCATAACAAGATGTATTTTATTCAAATATCTTTAAAACTAAGCTCTTTAGCACTTAAAACAGAAAATTCCGCCTAACAAAAAAACTTCTACCCTGCTCAAATTACTATTTTTGATAATTCAACTAATTTCCAAATTTGTAAAATTCAAACCATGTGTTGACCTACATTAAAAACCCAGATTGGGCTGATTTTAATTAAATACAACTTTAAAAGACTACAAATCAAATTAATATAACTTCCTAAATTAGCTACATTTAAAAATTCTATTTATAAATTAATTAAACACAATCCATTTTTGGCTAAACACAAAACACAACTATATCACGTCACACCTGTGATATACC